GTGGGGTCCACGATTAAAATAATCGCGGCCCCACCCATGGAAGAGGACTGTCAAAATTGCTGTACAATTTTGACTGGACATTAAGCATTTTTGATCGAAAATTGCAATATGCATCAAAACACTTCCATGCATCTTCTACCGTCAGTACATGCTAAGCATCTTTCATGAAAGTCCATTATTCAGGGCCTGTTTGGTACGACTCAAAATCCAATTAAAATTGAAAATATAGCCGTTATTGGATCTCACTCATATTATAAAAGTCAACAATAACGGCTAGTTTTTCAATTTTAATCCGATTTTAATCTATGCCAAACACCCTCTCAATCTGAAATCTGAAAAACACATGAATTCTGTCAGATAAATTAAAAATTAAAAAAAAATTATAATTGGTATTATTCATAACAAGCTCAATATAGAAATGTAAGTTCATCAACAAAATTAAATATCACAATCTCAAATAGAAAACAATCCAGATTTAGTGCTACTATCTTTGACTTTTAATTATAATTGAATATCTTTGACTTTTAATTATAATTCTATCGATAGGAAAACTTTTTATTTAATAATCATATCTAAAAGTCTAACTCAAACACACACTTCGGATGCACTTTAGCTGGAGAGAAGATTAACTATGAAAGAGGTCACGAGCATAATATCTTACGTGATGGCTAGAAGCAGGATGAGACCACGTTAAATTTAAAGTGAGCATCGTCCAATAAGTTAGACCAATTAAATTTATCTTTGTTCTTTCATTGAATGGAGATTATCTTATATGCCACCTTCAAAATTTTATATTTTTTGATTTATTTTTCCAAGTAATTAATAACCAAATCACATGGGGTTTAATTAAAAAAAAAAATTGTTAGAGAGAAAATAATTTTATTTATTTAAATTTTATCTTTAATGGACTTTTTCACATGCAAACGGAAGCTAACCAATAATAAACACGAAATTATAAAAGAAAATTTGTACACAAATTAACAATTTAAAAGAATAATTGAAGAAAAATCTCCAAGTTTTTATTCAATATTTATAAAAGCCTTGCAACACAATCATAGGACCTTATTTGAACAAAACTCCTAACTAGACTTTTAAAACAAAACAAATCCTAGAAAACTTATATTATATGAATAAACCTCTAATATATAAATTCTAATTAAGATAAAATTCTTACTAAACATAAAATGATAAAAGACTAATTAATTAACAATAAAAATAAAATATTAAATTACATGAGTTCGCTGACATCATTCTTCTCGAATTGGAAAAGATTTGTTCTTGAATCTCGTGACACCTTGTAGGTGGAGTGGTTATATGTCAATGAACTAAAGATTACTCATATCTTGATTATGAGAAAAACTTGAGTGATTAGTTGACTTTTTTTCATTTCTATCGTATTATATCCCAACAAATTCACTCCGAACATTAGAGTCATTGCATTGCACAATTTTGGAAATTTCAAA